TCTCTCATGTTTGCAACCATTTACTAGGATTCAAAATGCCTGTATTGAGCAAATCAAGTAAAAATGTTCCATCAAATAAAAAGTCATGCTAATTTTCTCACAAGTTGCTGTGTGAAGTGTGCGGAATGGAAGTTATTGTGTGTTTCTCTGAAAAAAGGGTGACTGTGAACTCAAATACCAATATCAGTATTCAGTAATTCATTAAGTGCCAGCTAACAGATGGTTCAGCATTTCCAGAATAGCCTATTTTTGACTAAATACTTTCACTAGCATTCTGATACTTCCACTATTTAACTCTGATTTCTTGACTATGCTTTTTGTTTAATCAGAGCTTTCAGAAACTTCTGGGATTTGTTTGCTTCTGATTTTCAGAGTTGGAGCTATCCATCAGTATTACTGTCTCGTTTTCAATCCTCTTGCATAGCACAATGGCCGTTATGGGCTTAATTCATACATTTCTTTATATCTTTGTCATCAAGGCAGCTCTTTATCTATTGTTTTCAAGTTCAGAAAAGAAAGTGGGGGCTAGATCTTTTTATGGCCCTTAATTTTGTCAAAACCAATAAACAATGGGAACTATAGAATTCCACATTTTATTTCCTGGCAACTGCTTTCTTTAAATCACAAAATGAATGATATAAATTCACAATATGCCTTTCCAAATATGACCCTTGCATCTTTACCTGTGACTTAAGAACATTTATCAAGTGGAACACTTGGCCTCGCCTTTCTATCACTTTTAACAGAAACTTTTTTTTCTCAATTTAACCAGAGAATAATGCTATAGACATAAAATGTCAAAGCTATAAGAAAGGGACCATTGTTATTGTTGTCATGTGCAGTTGAGTTGGTTCCAACTCATAGTGACCCTGTATAGGGTTTCCAAGGAGCAACTGGTAGACTTGAACTTCCAAACAAAGGGAGTAGAAGGCACATTTAGTCTGTCTTCTGTGATTAAGATCAAAGAGATTCACTAAAAGTGCATTAGGTCATACAGGTTGTTCTTTTTTAGTGCCTTAGAGTTGGTTCCAACTCATAGCGGTGACCCTGTATAGGGTTTCTGAGGCTGTAAATCTTTTGGAGAGCAGAAAGCCTCATCTTTCTCTAAAAGAACAGCTGGTGGGCTTCGAACTGCCGACCTTGTGGTTTGAAGTCCACTGCTTACCATACAGAGCCACTGCAGTTTTAGTTTCATACAAGTACAAATAGAGTACTTATAAACCAAAATTGTTGTTGTTGTTATGTGCCATGGAGTCAGTTCTGACTCATAGCGACACTGTATAGGGTTTCAGAGGCTATAATTCTTTACAGGAGTAGAAAGTCTCATCTTTCACTCACGGAACAGCTGGTAGTTTCGAACTGTTGACTGTGAGATTAGCAGCCCAATTCATAACCACGATGCTACAAATGTCAACCTTTTTGTTGTTGTTGTTGTTGTTACATTACCCACCTTTTCTCAGTATTAGAATATAATATGAAATGGTCGAAGCCAATATTTATATTCCATTGTTCTCATATACTTAAATTGTGTTTTCCTTGTGTTTGTTCTTAAGAGTATCAGAAAGTTGGTAAATTCCGAAACAATTAAGTACATTTATTCAGCAAAGAGTATCAGGCAGGTTTTTCCCATACTTGTCACCTAATGTATTTTGTTTGACAAGTAAGAAGATTTTATGCCTGAGAACCTCTTTGGACAAAGAAGAGAACTCTGTGAGTAAAGTGAAAGGGGTCTTAAAAGCAAGTAGCAACTGTATGTTGAAATTAATGGAAGATAGACTGATGATTCCAAGGGTTCTGTGACTTTTACCTTGTGATGTAGCTATAGTCCCTTAATGTATAGGAAAAGAGAACTTGCCCAAGTTAAACCAATTAGGAAAATCTTGCACAATATTTTTGTGTGCAAATTTTCCTCATGGTTTAATTTGGGCAAGATGTGACTATAGTTTTGTGAAATGAATTTGTAACTGCCTTTTCTTTGCATTAAGGAGCCCTCGTGGCACTGTAGGGTAAGCACTGTGGCTACTAACCACAGGTCAGTGGTTCAAAGCCACCAGTCATTCCTTGGGAGAATGATGAGGCTATCTACTTTGGTAAAGATACACAATTTTGGAAATCCTACACAGGGTCACTATGAGTCAGAATCAACTCAAAAGCAGTGAATCTATTCTGGTTGTCTTTGGATTGGACTTCTTGGCAAGAAATGGAAGCTGTATGATCCATCACTTCTGAACTTTTTCCTGAAAGGACTCGAGGATGACTTACAAAAACCCATTGTCATCGAGTCAATTCCAACTCTTGGGGACCCTATAGGACAAAGTAGGTTTTCCAAGGCTGTAAATGTTTGCGGTTCAAACTGCTGAACTTTAACGATGGTGCCGCCAGGGCTTCTAAAGTTATGGGTATTGTTGTTTTTGTTAAGTTTGGTTGTATAAGATTTGAGTGGCTGGTAGGTTTGAACTGCTGACCATTTGGTTAGCAGTGCATTTTCATCCTTCAGCGGTACATAGTTAGAAATATGAATATGTGCTTTCCAGTCATAGCAGCCTTCCCATCTAAGGCATTTTTTCCCCGTTAACAAAAAATATGGGGCTATCTACTCATACCCATAAAATACCAAGAAAAATACATGGTATCTGACACTAACTAAGCACTGCTCTATTCTTGTACATTGAGCCCTGTGATCAAACACAGTGACTTGTAGTCAAATCTAGATGCCAAGTTGTTGTGTCACCTTCTAACCACCAAGCCCTGTAACTAAGCATTTTTGTTGTATAAAATTACAGAATAGATACTGTTTGCTAAGGTATTTTCTCCTATTTTAGTACATATAGCTCATTTAGAAGATGACTCTTATTTAATTTTCCCTTTCTTTGTTTTCTGTTTGTGGATGTGCATTTGTTTGGAGTGAATGCTTTCAGTGACATTGTAGAAACAGTTATCCCTTCCCACTTGGTGTAGACTGGTTTGCTTTCAAGCAGTTTCTTCAGACATTGGATTGAGATTTGACACTTCTAGTTTTGTGTACACTTAGAGGTTGGAGTCCTGGTGTGGCATTCTGGGTTAATGCGCTGGATTGCAAAGTTGATTTGAACTGCCACGTCGATGGTTCAGGCTCACCAATCGTTCCTTGGAAACCCTATTACAGGGTCACTACGGGTCAGAATCGACTACACTGCACTCACCAACATAGGTTGGCAGCTCAGAATTTATGGAAGCTCAATTATGAAATGCCGCTGCCAATTTAGGGTTAGTTTGAAAAGAATTCTTCCTAAACAGATCTGTAGTCCTCTTGATCAAGCATACAAATAACAAATAGTTCAAAAATTGGCATGACATATAAGACATATAAGGTAGGGATTGCAAATATTATTTGAACAATGAATTTTTGTAAGTAGTCTAATTTATTACTACCATAGAACCTATGCCAGATGTAATTCATAAAGATACTTATGTTTTTATGAAATTATAGAATACTTAGAAATTTTCCCTTGTAAAATGGAAATCCTTCAAAGCCAGACCCTATTCTTATTCATCTTTATATTCCCAGCACAGTGCCTGGCATACAATAGGCAATGAAAGCTTATTGAATGAATAAATGAGTGCATGCATGAAGCTCATTTCTTAGAAAGATTGTTTGAAATAAAGAAATTAAAATGTTTCCTTCAAATAGGAAAAGTACAGGCATATATCCATTCTTTCTGCTTCACTTTGAGAAGGAAATTGATTTTTCTCTGAATATTTAGAAGCACGCTTAAAACTTACTCTCTTCATTAAAAAATAGATTATACACCTTTTAAATATCACAATAGTTGACTTATATTTGGTTTCTAAGAAGCAGCCTCTTTAAAGAAAAAAAAAAAGATCACCATTTGATTTCCTGACAACTATAAATGGTAGAATGGAACATTTCAGAACATTGTTACTAAATTAGTGATCATCAGAAGAAATCAAAGGAAAGAACATTTAGGACTCAATTGTAGAAAGCCACCAGGGTTGATACTGCATTTCAGATGCCCAGTTGAAACTGGAATATGCTTTTTTTTTTTATGTTACCATAATGATTATCTGCTTCAAAAATACCCACATACACATATATCCTTACCATTAGAAGGAAGTTCTGTGTTAAACCCAAAGTTTCCAGTTAGTTGTCTAAGGAAAGATTACGACTAAATATTAAGATTTTCTCAAATATAATGCAATGGAATTATAGAGCTAACAAGGAATTTACTGATCAAACAATGAAATGACTTCTCCAATGTTGTATCAGAGAGAATACTAGGGCTTTGATTTTCTTATGTCCTAATGAGTGCTTTTTCTAAAACCACACAATGCTGTAGAAAGCGGTTTTTCAAATTTGTGATCCTGAAACCATTGGTATTAGGGTATTTCAAAGATGCATTTTATAATCTCAGAACATTTTTTATTGTAGAGTTTAAGGCAGCGGTCGTAAACTATGGCCTACAAGCCAAATCCTATCTCCCACTGTCTTGGTACATAAAGTTTTATTGGGATTCAGTCACACCCTTTCACTTATGTATCATCTATGACTGCTTGATATTACATTGGCAGGGTTGAATAATTGTAACAGACATGGTATAACCTACAATGCTTAGATTATTTATTTCTGGACTTTTACAGGGGTAAAAATAATTCTGACCCTTAGTGTAAGATAAAGATGAAAAATGTATCTGAAAAAATGAATACTATCAATCTATAATATATTGTGAGTAAAATATGCTTTTTAGAATAATCAAAATACTAGCATATTGTTGAAAGACATAAATGTCCCGAGGCTACAAAAGTCTGCCTGCATTAACAATCAAATAGAACTAACTTTCTAGAGAAATCCCTGAGCATGTGGACTCAGAGATTCAGTTGTGAGAATGAAGCCTGTGACTTGCAATATCATTAAGAGAGGTGAGATATATCTCAGCCTGTCATTTATTTTGCTCTAACCCTGTGAAACTTGAGAGCTCACCAAATGCTGCTCTTCTTGGCAGGTGGAGTGGATCCAACAGCAAGTAGTAAAAAAACGAACGAAGAGGGACTATGACCTCAGTCCTGCCCAGTCGACTTATTTCAATGATCCTAAGTGGCCAAGCATGTGGTATATGGTAAGTTTATCCAGGGAGCCTGGTCTGGGGCCATGTCCTCTAACCTTATGTCTTACAGAAAATGTCAGCTTGGACTGAGAACACATCAAAATGCTGACCCAGGGACATTTTCCTATTTCAGAGCCTACAGTTTGAGACTGGTTGATTGTCTATGCTGTTGTGTGGATATTTTTAACCTAAATCATTGGTTTGAAGGAGAAACAGAAGGCCACATTAATTCACAGAGTTTCTGTTTGAGAACTACTATGCTTTCTAAATTTGGGATGGTTAAGATGTACTATGGTGGAGACACCCTTGTTGTGGTTGTTGTTATGTGCCATCGAGTCGGTTCCGACTCATAGCGACCCTGTACAGGGTTTCCGAGGCTGTAAATCTTTACTGGAGTAGAATGCCTCATCTTTCTCCCTCGGAACAGCTGGTAGTTTCAAACTGCTGACCTTGCGGTTCGCAGCCCGATTCATAACCACTACGCTACCAGAGACCTATCAATAGCAGTGGTCACCTGTTGTACATTTTATTCCACTTTGAAACCAGTCTGACTAATGGATATTTGTTCTTGGGAATCATTGAAATGACTGCTGAAAAGTGACAGTCTCTGGACTTCAGTTATCTCATGTGCTCCTTCTGACATTGAGTAATAATTTCTGAAATTAGGTTAAGAAAAGAGTAGTTAGAAAGCGTTTAGCTTACTACTAGCTCTGGTTCCAGCAAAAACTTTTCAGTGAGGGAAGTGTGATCCACCAGTTCCCTTAACAGATTCTTTTTAGTGGTTGTGTGCCCTGGAGTTGATTCCGACTCATAGTGACCCTGTATAGGGTTTCTGAGGCTGTAAATCTCTACGGAAGCAGAAAGCCTCATCTTTCTCTCATGGAACCACTGGTAGTATCAAACTATTGACGTTGAGGTTAGCAGCCTGACTCGTAACCACTATGCTACCAGAGCTCCTTATTTCCTCTTTATAGAATATATTTATGTAGGTAGTCTTGGAGTTTTAAGTTCATGATTATTGAGAAATTAATTAAAATATGTTAATTATTCTTTAAGGAGCCTTAATAGAATGCCTGGTGTGGCGCTATAGGATTAGCCCTCACCTGCAGACCACAAGTTCCACAATTTAAACCCACCAGCTGTTCCTTGAAACACTATAAGCGTTACTATGAGTCAGAACTGACTCAGTGGTACTTGCCAACAGCAAGTAGTGTAGTGGAGTCCTGGGTGTAGCCCTGCGGGAGAATGCACTGGACCACAAGGGTGTTTTGAATTGAAGTGTTGGTGGTTCCAACTCACAAGTGTTTCCTTGGAAACACTAAACAGGGGTGCTATGAGTCAAACCCTGAGTAACGTAGTGGGTTACGTGTTGGACTGCTAATTAGTAATGTAGTGGGTTTCGTGTTGGATTGCTAACTGCAAGGTCGGCAGTTCAAATCAACCAGCCACTCCAAGGGAGAAAGAAGAGGCTTTCTGCTCCCATGAAGATTTACAGCCTCAGAACCCTATATAGGGTGGCTCTGAGTCTGAGTCTGTATTTGCCGGCACACCACCAACCACCAGCCCCTGTTATTCTTAAAAATAAAAATAAAAGTGTATCGTTTTAATGTAGTAATATATCTGTAACCTAAAATTTGCCAGTTAAACCATTTTTAAGTGTACAATGGGCTTCAAAAGTTTTGTGGGAAAAATGGAATTAAGAGATAAAGGAATTTTACATTAACTGCTTGAAGCATGCTTATATAATCCACTGCATTAATTATATTCACAATGCTATATAATCATCTCCACTAAGTTTTGCATCACTCCTAACAGAAACTCTGTACCTATTAAGTAATAACTGCCCATTTTTACGTCTCCCAATCTCTGGTAACCTCAAATCTAATTTCTCTCCCTCTATGAATTTGATGTGGTGCTGTAGAATAAACACTGGACTACTGACCACAGGGTCTGTGGTACAAATCCACCAGCTAGTCCTTGGAAACCCTATACAGGGTGGCTATGAGTTGGAACCAAGTTGGTGGCACTTAACAACGACAGCATGAATTTGTCTATTCTAAATACTTAATAAAAATGCAATCATGAAGTATTTGTCATTTTGTACTAGGCATATTTTACTCAGTATATTGTTTTTATGATTTATCCATGTGGTGGAATGTTGTTGTTAAGTGACCTAGTATAGGGTTTCCAAGGAGTAGCTGGTGAGCTTGAACTGCTGACCTTGCATTTCAAATGGCTTTGCAGTCTGACACATTAACCCATAGCGCCACATCAGGACTCATGTAGCAGATTTCTATTTCTATTTTTGGTGGAATAACATTTTATTGGTGAGCATGGTGGTTCTGTAGGAAAAACAATGGACTGTGAACCACAAATTTGGCATTTCAAGCTCACCAACCACTCTTTAGGACAAAAAAGTCAAGGCTTTCTGCTCCTGCAAAGATTTATAGCCTCAGAAACCATATACAGGGCCACTAATGACTCAGAACAGGCTCAGGGATACTTAGCACAGCAACAATGACAACAACAGAATTCTATTATATGGATATACCACAGTTTGTCTGTCCAATTATCTGTGGATAGACACTGTTTTTTTCCATCATTTGGCTTTGTGAATAGTTTTGCAATGAACACTGGTAGATATATATATGTATATATCTGTTTGGGTCCCTGCTTTCAATCCTTTAGGGTATAAACCCAGTGGAATTGCTAGTTCATGTGGTAATTCCATATTTAATTCTTGGAGGAAATGTCAGACTCTTTTCCACAGCACTTGCAATATTTTGCATTCCACAAGAAATGTACATGGATTCCAATTATTTCACATTCTCACGAATACTTATTTCCTGGTTTCATTTTAGCCATCATAATAGAAGTGATTGGTGTTGACTTTCATTTCCTTAATGACTAATGATGTACATGTTTTATGTGCATATGGACCATTTGTGTGTCTTCTTTGATAAATATCTATTAAAGTCTTTTGCCTGTTTTTTTTACAAATTGATTTGTCTTTTATGCTTAAGTTGTAGGAGTTCTTAATATATTTATATATTAATTATATATTAATATAATATATATTAATATATTTGATATATATAACCCTTATAAAATATATAATTTCCAAATGTTTTATTCATTCTGTAGCCTTTTTTTTTTTTTTTTTTACATTCTTAATAATGTCTTTTGATACTAAAGATTTTAATTTTGATGAAGTCCAATTTATTACTTTTTTCTTTTGTGCCCGGTGATTTTAGTGTCATGTAAGAATCTATTGCCAAATCCAGGTCATGAAACTACTTCTGTTTTCTTCTAAGAGCTTTATGGGTTATAGCTCTTATACATAAGTTACTGATCCATTTTGAGTTGTTTTTTATGTGAGGTTAGAATCCAACTTCATTCCTCTGTATGTGGAAATCTAGTTGATTCTTTTCCTTGGTGAATCAACCTAGCATTCTTATCAAATTAATAAGCCATAAATGTATGGGATTATTGTTGGACTCCTAAATTCTCTTCCCTTGGCCTATATGCTTATCCTTATTCCAGTACCAAATAGTTTTGATTGCTGTAACTTTGTTGCGTAAAAAGCTGAGTTAGTACCTTTCAATCATTTATTTAGCTCTTCGTGAGGAGTCCTGGTGTGGCGCTGTGGGTAAATGCGCCAGACTGCAAAGCCTTTTGAACTGCAAAGTCGGCAGTTCAAGCTCACCAGCTGCTCCTTAGAAACCCTATACAGGGTCGCTATGGTTCGGAATCAACACGACGGCACTTCACAACAACAACAACAAGCTCTCGTAGCGTATTGGTTACGAATTGTGCTGCTAATCTCATGGTCAGCAGTTCGAAACTACCAGCCATTCCGTGGGAGAAAGATTTACAGCCATGGAAACCCTGTGCAGGGTCACTATGAGTCGGAACTGACTCCACAGCACTTAACAACAAGAAAGCGTCTTCTGGAGACCTGGTGTGGCGCTGTGGGTTAATGCGTCAGACTGCAAAGTCGTTTGAACCTCAAGGTGGCGGCGGTTCAAGCTCACCATCTGCTCCTTGGAAACCCTATACTGGGTCACTATGGGTCAGAATCGACTCAACAGCACTTAACAACAACAACATAGATTATTTTAGCAATGTGTTACACTTTTCAGTGTACACATCTTTTATGTTTAAGTATGTTTCTAAGTATTTTATCCTTTCAAGTATTACTGTACATGTAATTGTTTTTTCTCAGGTTGTTGACTGCTAATGTATCAGGTTATTCACTGATGATGTATAGAAACCCAACTGATTTTTGTGTGTTGACCTTGTACCCTACGGTATTACAGAATTCATTTAGTAGCTTTTCTGTACGTTCTTTGGAGTTTTCTATATATAAGATAATAGCAGCAGCACTATATAAACAGATAGTTTTACTTCCTTTCTGATGTGGGTACCTGTCATTTCCTTTTCTTGCCTGAATCCTTTGGCTAAAACTTCCAGTACAATGTTGAATTCCGGTGGTGAAAGTAGACATCATTGTCTCATTCCTGATCATAGGGGGAAAGAGAAAGCCTTTTACTATGTTTAAAATGTTAGTTGAGGGACTTTCATGAATAATGTTCATTATCTTGAGGGAGGGGCCTTCTGTTCATAGTTTTCTGAGTGTTATTAATGATTCTTGATTGTGAAACTCGTATCTATGGCACATTTTTGCCCTGTTGTTGTTGTTGTTGTTGTTGTTGCTGAATGTGACTAAGTTGGTTCCAATTCATAGTGACCCTGAATAGGGTTTCCAAGGAGCAGCTGGTGGGTTTGAACTGGCAACTTTATGATTAGCAGTCCAGTGCTTATCCAACAATATCACACCAGAACTTGTTTCTTATATAATCTCTAAAATCCCCTTTCCTTTCCTTTTCTTCAACATTTATTATTGCTAATTATTTCAGGTATATGTACATATTTTCCTTTCTACTCTTTTATTAGTAGTAGTGGAATCCAGCTGTGGGTTAATGCACCAGACTGCAAACTGTTTGAACTGC